TAATTTTGATTTCTTCATTGAAAAACTGCCTGTTCATATCCTTTAACCATTTATCAATTGGGGAATGACTCATTCTTATACATTTGACAAAGTTCTTTATATATTTGTGTTAGTTGCGTGTTTGTTTATTTTTAATACAAACCACCAAGGGCAATGGGTACGGGTCTCTCTACACATGCACGCACGCGCGCGCGCGCACACACACACACACACACACACACACACCCCTTCCTGCCCCTCACCTAATTCAAGAATGGGCAGCCCGTGTCAGTTCCAGGCCAACCCCTTCCGCCTCCCTGAGCCACCCTGGCTCAAACCCCCACTTACCTGAGCATAGATGACCACGAGGGCCCTTCCAGGCCTACTTTTCCGTCAGGAGGCTCATAACTAGGCTCCAGATCAAAGTTCGAGGGACAACCTGAGGGTGGCACAATGAGCCCCTGTCCAACCCTCTGGATTTCCCTCTGGGCCAATCCCCCCTTCTGCCTTCCAGGGTGTGGTCCAACCGCAAATTAGTGATTGACAGGGAAGGCAGCTAATCAGGCATCAGTGTCTCTGGGTGGAGGGAAAGGTGTGGCGGGAGGTAGCCTACCGTTCTTAGGTTCCTTGACCCCTGGCCTCCTCTTGCTCCATTTTACCACTCAAGTCTCAGAGAGGAAAGGGGAAACTGAGACACAGGGAGACCAAAAACCTAAGTGGCCCGGGTCCCAAGCTCCCCATGTCCTTTTTCATTCCCTTCCCAGCCTCCACTGTTCTTTCTCTCTCACAGTTTCTCCCTCCAGCACTGAATTTTGGTCACTACTAGTACATTCCTTCTCTGGCCCCTGAGGATGAATCAAAGACACTCCAGTAGCAGGTCCAAGTGTGGGCCTGAAAGCACAGCCCCAGTGCCCCGATCTTCAGAGTCAAGCTCAGCTATCCATCTGTCTGCCTCTGCTCTACGGGCTCAGCATGAGTAACGGCCTTGGGAAAGGCTTTGGCCACGGAGGTTTCCTTCCAGCTTTACCCCTGGTTTGGATGGATACCAGACTGGCTCCCAAGTCATTGACCCTAGATCGATGCTGGGGGAAGTCGAGATGAAGGGATGCAAGCTGGGTACTTCGAATGTTTCTTGGGTAGTACCAGAGTCCAGTGGGAGAGATGCTCAAGGAGAGCGGGAGGCCTTACGCAGTTGCATAAAGGAGGACAAGAGCCACACCCAAAACTGATTAGCTTTCAAAGTGACCTTGACCATTTGGGAGACGGGGAAGACAAGTGCAACCAGTAAAGGAGCATCTGTTTGGAGGGGATAAACCAAATCAACCGGCTACAGTCAGCTCTTGGTTACCTTTCACTTTTCTGGTGCCCTTCTCACCCTCGAGACCTCTCTGAGCTCTCCACAACGTAGATGTCAATAACACGATTTTCTTTGAAGCATTCCAAAATCCCGAACATTAGACACCTCCCAACCCCCCCCACTACAAAACCACATAATTCTTTTTACAGTAGCCATTAGCACCTTTCCATTAGCAAGGAGCATTAAGAACTAACTGCATTTGTAGGTACTAGTTAACTCCCTTCACAATGTTTTGTAGAAAAATGAAAAATTTTTTGTGAATCAAATCATTCTATAATATATAATGTGTGGATTTTATATAATATATAAACTTCACTTTTGATTCCAGATACATTCTCTTAACTTGTGATTGCTCATCAATTTACAGGTCACCAGAAGGTTCTCTACTGCTGCCTTCCCCACCCCACGAGTAGTTAGTGATCAAATATGCCTTTAGAAACAGTAGAAACTCCTAAGAAAGGAAGTCTGTGCAGGCCCTTTCGGAAAAAGCAGACTCTTTTTCTAACGTGGACAAACAGCGCTTAACGTCTCTCTTTTTGTAAGGAGGGAGGAGCACGTGCACAGCACAAAGGGAAGCACGATTGGCTTTCTTCAGATAAGGCATTAAAAATGAAAGAGGAATGGAATATAGGAGCAAGGAGTCTTACTAGTTGGTGAAATGGACAGTGTTGGTCTTGGGAATCGGGAAGATGTGAATTCAAATCCTGCCTCAGACCCTTATTAGCAGTGTGACTCTTGGCAGGTCACTATACCTCGGCTTCAGTTTCCTGAAATGTAAAATGGCATGGTAATAGCACCGGCCTCCCTGGGTTGTAAAGATCATGTAAAACAGAACATGTAAAGTGTTTTGTAAACCTTACCAGTGATAAATAAATGCTCCCTTTAATCATATACTGGAACCACAAGCTTTGGTGATGGGGGCAGGGAGGGGGAAGGGTGTAAGTATACTGTAAGTGAGTGTGGCTACTGTGAGATTGAAATACAATAGCAAGCTCCTCGATTTACTATGCCCAACGATTAAAGAGGGATTTAGGTTTGGGCTCAACCACTTGACTGAGATATGGGTAAGTTTCCTCATCTGTAAAGTGAGAGTAGGACTGGATAATCTCTAAGACTTGCAGGTCCCTTCCAGCCCTAAGTCAACGACCTTGGAGACAATCCCAGAATAACGGTAATAGAATTGAAAGGGTTAACAATGGGCCCCATTTGGAAAGACTAGAAGTAGGAAGAGAGAAAACTATTGAGAAGAGAAAGTTCAGGGTGCCAGGGTCTTCAGTCACATGACCAAATGTCAGTTAGCTCTGGGGTTCCACTGGTCACCATTCAATCGTGCACAACCCACTGAACACCTGTCAGCATCTTCACTGTCAATCAGCTTCTCCTTACCCCTCCCCCCAGGCCCTGGGCGAGATCACCCAATGACAACTGCTTTGGTTGCTGGGACGGAACCTCTCCTTCACTCTGGGTTGACAGAGGATGCAGTACCAAGTACTAACAACCCTCTGAACTATCGTGAGGGAGGCAACATGCTCTCCGGAGGCAGGAAGCCAATGGAATGGAGATGGGAAGATGGGGCTTCAGGCGCCAGCTCTGCCACTCGCTTGCTGTACGAAGGCCTGCTTTTTCACCTGTAAAATGAGGAAATTAGGACGACATCGACTCTCCTCTGCGGACTTGACCAAAAGCGTTATGTTTGGATGTGGATGCTACAGTCAAAGCCTGCTCCTTCATCTATCGGGTCCTCTTCCCTCTATGATGTTACTAACTGACGTCCAGGCAGCACTGGAAGGTATCTCGTTGAAGTAACAAAGCAACCCTTCGTGGGCACCTCAGAAACGGGCTGTCCATGGTGGCAGCACTTGTGACAGACAAAGGCAGGATCTGAACTCAGGTCTCTCCGCTCCCTCCTTTATACTGCTCTGTCTTTCAGCCTCCTTCCAAACCTCAGCCTTTTCACCTCAAAGTCCTTTCCAACGTCTGATTCCTGCTCTAGGAAAGGCAACATTAAAACAGATTCAACTTGAGGTTGGCAACAGCCAGGTTCAGAGTCTCCCTCAGACACTTACTAACTGTGGGGTGACCCTTGGCAGTCACTTCACCTCAGTTTCCTCAACTATAAAATGGACTCAGTGAGATCTAAAGTCCTGTCCAGCTCAAAAGTCAGGATCCTATGAAACTTCCACATTTCAATCTTATTGGTTTCTAGGACCTAAATTCCCACTCAGAAGATGATTCTCAACTCAACTTTGAGGCCGTCTGCGTGGAATGGAACTCAGGGAGCACCTAGTGCATCACGTACACAAAGAATGTCCCATAAGTGGTCACCCAGCCTCCCCTCAGCCCCCGTAGCCCTAACCCTCGTTTGTCTCTAACCCTAACCCTCATTTGTCTCTAACTTGTCTGATTTGTCTCTAACCCTAACCCTCATTTGTCTCTAACTTGTCTGATTTGTCTCTAACCCTAACCCTCATGCTAGCCTGAAACAGCCCATTCCACATTTGGGCAGCTCTAACTGGTAGACGTTTTTCCTCACATTGAGACTGCAACTCCTACCCCACTACTTCCAGATAAGACCTCTGGCACCAAGCATAAATCTAATCCCTCTTCCACGTGACAGGCCTTCATATATCCCCATACCAAGTCTTCTTTTCATCCCTAATTCCTTCCAAAGATGTGCATGCATTAACAGGTTAGTGACAGGCCCCCATCACCATGCAAACACCCCAAGTCACCCTGGCAGGCAGAGAACAGCAGTTGGGTCTTCTTCCAAGCCTTGGCCCACCCCACAGTGAATGTCACATCCTAAGAGATCTTCCTTGACTTCCTCACCATCAATCTGGAATGGGGGGGCCTCCCCTTGCTTACTAGCTGCTCCACGTCATGTTGGGTCTTCCTTCCATACTATCATCTCTCTTTCAAGATGCCATACTCACTTCATCCAAAACCCCCCTCCACATACCACCTCTTACAAGTCTTTATGGGTCGCAGAGGTCAACCGAATGCCCCAGTTGTTAGCCTTCTCACCATTGTTTGCATTGAGTCTATCTCCCCCAACAAAAAATAACTCCTTCAATTACAGTTTAAAAGCCAATTAAGCAAAGAGCATAGGACTGTCTAAATTAGCGCAAGTCTCCTTAAGACCCCCCACCACCACCAAAAAAGATCCCAGTTTGCTAAGGATTGTCCACACTGTAAATAGAGCCTCCTCCTCTTCAAGGCAGGAGACACTATTGAGACAGTGGCAGGCATGAAAAGAGCATGTGAACATGTTTACGGCATTTACAAATCCAAACTCTGACTTGCTATGAGTCCCCTTCCTGTAGGAGCCCCAAAACAAAACAGGAGGGGGAAACAGCTTGCTTCACAGTGGTTTAATATGAACAGAAGTTGGATATGACATTGTCTGACAGAAGATTGAACAGTTTTGCTGAATGAAACCCCCAAGTTAGGATATATACACAGCAGAGATGGGGAGTCAGACTCTCAGCACTTGTGCATGCTGAAGGAATGTCTTAAAAATACAGAAGAGAAGCTACAGCTCAAAAAAGGAAGCAGGTATTTCAACAACAACAACAACATTAGCAAGGTGGGCAAGGGAACAGAGCCTCTCTTTGGGAGCTGCTCCTGGGTACAGCCTCAACAGCTAGAGCTGACCTCTGTCGGGGGGGCACTTTCGACTCCAGACGAGCTCCCAATTCTCCCTCCCCTAGATCAGGCTGCTTATCCCTTCCCCCAACATCCTGCTATGGAGAGGAGCCGAGGTCTTCTGAAGGGGTGGGGGAAGGCCTTCCTGTTCATGCTTGCTACTCTCTTGCCCTGGACAGACAACAGGCCACCACCCAGCCCAAAGCCCAGGAGAGCTCCTAGCCCTAAGAACCTGCTTTGTACTAAAAGCTAGGGCAACTCCCAGCCAGGTGCAATCCCTAGCCCAGCTTCTAGAGAAACCACTGGTGGTCCCTGAAGAGACAGGTACAGAAAGCTCAATGACCCTGTGACCAAAGTGGGGAAGGGGATGACGATTCTTCGCCCTGAGCCCCAATTACTCAGCTCAAAGTGCTTGCCAGAAGTCAGACTACATTATTTGTTCAAGTAGCCCTGCCCTTTGGGAACAAAAAGTGTCGTGAGACTTCGAGGAGGAAGGAGAATGGGATGGAGTGCTTTCTGGCCACTGGGAGCTTCCAGGACAAGAAACCATTCTCACTCTGCACCATCACCCAATAGTGACGTTCCTCCAAGGCAGCCCACCTGGCAGTTAAGATTTCAGGAAGAGCTGCTGACCCACACTGGTCAATTAAGGATGGACAGTGAAAAGCCAGCCACATACAGGAAGCAGCTAGGGCCCTGGAGAGTGGGAGAAAGCCAGCGGGAGCCCCTCTGCTTCCCCAGAAGTCCCTTGTGACTCTGAGGCAGCTAAGTATGATGGGCCCAGCAAACCCACAGACCGGGACGCTGAGCTTCTGGACTGATGACTGCTCCAGCCAGCAATATACGAGGGAGGAAGGACTCAAGAAAATGTCGAGAGAACCGGGGGAGGAACAGAGCAAACTGGGAGAGCCCATGGGAATCTGCCATCCCACAACAGGGCAAAAGGAAGGTTCCATGCAGGTAGAAGGGGCAGGCTTGCTCCCTGCTCAGAGTTCCAGGTTCACCTTTGGAGTGGGGAACCTCCCTTAGACTCACAGCACCGCTGACCTGTTTGGCCAAGTGCCACTGAAGCACCAGACTCCCAGGCTAGCCTTGGTGCCTGAGAGGAAGCCCAAGCAAGTGCCATTTTAGTCCAATTCCTGACCCCTCCCCCTAAAAGCCCAGGACCTCTGCCCGCAGCTTCCCACCTCTCCTTAGAGAGGAGGATCTTAGAAGAGTGCCCATAGTGTGGCCAAGTGCCAGGGAGAACGACGGCAGACAGACAAAAGTCAGGCCGGGGGACGACAGCCACTGCAGATCAAGAGAGAGAGGCTTAGTGTAAAAATCAGTGTCACTTTGCCAGGAAGGCAGAAGGCAGGTGGCCAGAGGGCTTTCCTATTGGCGCACCTTCCCAGGGACATAGTTCCTGTCGATTGTCTCCTCCTGCAGGAACATGTGTAGGCAGCGCTCATTCTGAGCCAGTGGGTGCCCGGCGATTCTGTAAGGGAACCAAGATGGCCGCCGTCAGTACCGAAGGCCAGAGAGAACCAGAAACAGCACCAAAGGCAAAGAGCAGGGCCTAGGCAGCTGGGCACAGCACTAGGCCTTACTTGGACTGCTTCATACAGACCCCCAACATCTCTGCAGCCTCTACAGGGCCAGCTACAGCTTAGCTTTAGTGCTCTCAGGGGAAGTCGAGGTGAAATGGTTTCACAGACATGGCTAGCATGCCCCAGCAGCAGGGGACTGAGGGATGACAAGTCCTGGAGTATGAGATCACTTCCCGACGGAGGAAATGGTCCACACTGCCAGTTCAACCTACCCCAGAACTAACACCACAACTCAGCACTTGTTCTAGAAGATGGGGCAAAGAAAGGGGGTGGGAGAGTACCAGCCAGAGAGCCCTCAGGACATCAGCTCACTTGTTAATGAACTGTTCGAGGCCCTGCCTCCTCTCCTCGATGAAGGACTCCTCAAAGATGCCTTCGTCTCCTCGGAAGGGGAGCTGCCGCTTCAAGGCTTTCCCAGGCAGCGGTGGCACTACGATCTGTGGGCAGACCCCAAACATCAACCGCTGATCAGGCACAGGGCCCACCGTGTCCCACAACCACTACCTCAGGAGAACTAAGAACACAAGCACCCCCAAAGTGACTAGGAACAATGAGCCAGACAGGCCAGAAGTCTGTTTCTGACACTGGCACTAAGGGGCTTCTGTGGGAGGGCAGAGATGCCCTTCATGATATCACATCAAAACATTAGCAACTGGGCCCCCATACCCTTACGCCTCTTTAATAATCTGTTTTAGACTGAACATTCATGTTATTTCTCTAACCATGTCTTAAGTCTATTTGTACCTGGCCTCACACGACCCTTTTCAAAGTTATTTTTCTAAAATGAGCCCATTGAAGTTCCCACTCCCTTCACAGGCTTGGTGTCGGGGGGGGGGGGGGGGGG